TTTTGAAAAGTAGCTGTTAGTCCTTTAGATTGTTTGTGTACATGTGTAAGATATTTAATTGTTTGAAATGATTCATGATGAAGAAGGACCATAATCGTGGCACAAACAAAAAATAGATTTGTAGCTGGATATTTCTTATAGTCTAACATATCGTCACTGGTGAGATTGCAAATTTCTTATAATAATTCATGATATATATAGATTCTGAATGGAAAATTTTACCTCAGCAAAAATTAATGATTTTAGTATGAGTGTATAATAATTTACTTAAGAATTCTCCTCCATAAAAAACATGTGAAGTCATCTCAACTTATTTTCACATGCCAAGTAAACTGACTCAACCCTCTCCTTGTACATGTCATTGGTTAACTTTTGCACAGTGTGCAATTTGGGCGTTGCCTGCTCATTGTTGTTATCATGGTTGAACTGTATATAACTGGGGTGTTGCCCAAGCATTAGAGGCAAAGGGAAGAAACAGGATCTGCTTAGCCAGAAGAGGAGCAGGCCATGGATCCCAAACACCAGCGTGTGGAACTAAACGATGGCCACTCCATTCCTGTGCTGGGATTTGGCACCTATGCACCTCCAGAGGTAACAAAACGGGTTTTGGTGTTGCAAGCTCAAAAGAATAGACACCTAGGATGAGTGGCAGCCAGCGGGGGTTTCAAGATCATTTCCCTGTGGGACTCTGGGGGACTCACTGGGTTCTCAGTTTTCCCGGGCTAGAGATGTTCTATGTACAAGATGGAAGATAGTCAGACTTCACTCTGCTTCCAGTTCTAGTGTATGGTCACCTATTCATTATGGGCTCTGGTTTGTTCTTCTGTCTCTGTACATTTCCCACCTCGGCGGGTGATGTCAAACTCAGCAGTCAGGAACACGGCCCGTCACCTCCCTTGCTGGGAGGTTTAGTGCAATGGCAGTGATTTCTCTGTAACTCAGGAAATCTTTCCTCCTGCTAAGTAAACATGATCCAAAGCAATCTTTCTAGTAAAAGTTACTGTATGGGGTGCATTAAAAAATTGGGAGAGTATTGCTGTTCTGCTGGCTG